ATTATTCTCTTGTTTTATTATTTATCATCCCTACATGCCAGAAGGACTAGAGGAATTAGTAACATTTTGTTTCGTAATCTATGTCAAGCTGGTGCTGAGATTTCAAAACTCCCATAGGAAAGAAAACACACAGATGAGATTGGTTATTTGAGATTCAACAGCACATGTAACTCTTCTGTCATAGTTGTTTCTGCTAGACAATAATAAGATCAAATGGAGAAGTCTCCCAATTTCTCCTGAGAAAATACCTTAGTTCTGTCATGACAAGTCTCAAGAGTGTTTGGCATGATAATGGGTATGACAATGTTGATATGTTTGGTCTTGGAGGAATAGATATGCTACGCTGCTGCTGCTATTATTGCTGCTGCTGTCAGTTATTGATGCTGCTATCAGTTATTGCTGCTGCTGTCAGTTATTGCTGCTGCTGTCAGTTATTGATGCTGCTATCAGTTATTGCTGCTGCTGTCAGTTATTGCTGCTGCTGTCAGTTATTGATGCTGCTATCAGTTATTGCTGCTGCTGTCAGTTATTGATGCTGCTATCAGTTATTGATGCTGCTATCAGTTATTGCTGCTGCTGTCAGTTATTGCTGCTGCTGTCAGTTATTGATGCTGTTATCAGTTATTGCTACTGCTGTCAGTTATTGATGCTGCTGTCAGTTATTGCTGCTGCTGTCAGTTATTGCTGCTGCTGTCAGTTATTGATGCTGCTATCAGTTATTGCTGCTGCTGTCAGTTATTGATGCTGCTATCAGTTATTGCTGCTGCTGTCAGTTATTGATGCTGCTATCAGTTATTGCTGCTGCTGTCAGTTATTGATGCTGCTATCAGTTATTGCTGCTGCTGTCAGTTATTGCTGCTGCTGTCAGTTATTGATGCTGCTGTCAGTTATTGATGCTGCTGTCAGTTATTGATGCTGCTGTCAGTTATTGATGCTGCTGTCAGTTATTGCTGCTGCTGTCAGTTATTGCTGCTGCTGTCAGTTATTGATGCTGCTGTCAGTTATTGATGCTGCTGTCAGTTATTGCTGCTGCTGTCAGTTATTGATGCTGCTATCAGTTATTGCTACTGCTGTCAGTTATTGCTGCTGCTGTCAGTTATTGCTGCTGCTGTCAGTTATTGCTGCTGCTGTCAGTTATTGATGCTGCTGTCAGTTATTGATGCTGCTATCAGTTATTGCTACTGCTGTCAGTTATTGCTGCTGCTGTCAGTTATTGCTGCTGCTGTCAGTTATTGCTGCTGCTGTCAGTTATTGCTGCTGGTGTCAGTTATTGCTGCTGCTGTCAGTTATTGATGCTGCTGTCAGTTATTGCTGCTGGTGTCAGTTATTGCTGCTGCTGTCAGTTATTGATACTGCTGTCAGTTATTGCTGCTGCTGTCAGTTATTGCTACTGCTGTCAGTTATTGATACTGCTGTCAGTTATTGCTGCTGCTGTGAGTTATTGCTGCTGCTGTCAGTTATTGCTGCTGCTGTCAGTTATTGATGCTGCTGTCAGTTATTGATACTGCTGTCAGTTATTGCTGCTGCTGTCAGTTATTGCTACTGCTATCAGTTATTGATGCTGCTGTCAGTTATTGATGCTGCTGTCAGATGCTGCTGTCAGTTATTGATGCTGCTGCTGTCAGATGCTGCTGTCAGTTATTGATGCTGCTGTCAGTTATTGCTACTGCTGTCAGTTATTGCTACTCCTGTCAGTTATTGCTACTCCTGTCAGTTATTGATGCTGCTGTCAGATGCTGCTGTCAGTTATTGCTGCTGCTGTCAGTTATTGATGCTGATGTCAGTTATTGATGCTGCTATCAGTTATTGCTGCTGCTGTCAGTTATTGATGCTGCTGTCAGTTATTGATGCTGCTGTCAGATGCTGCTGTCAGTTACTGCTGCTGCTATCAGTTATTGCTACTGCTGTCAGTTATTGATGCTGCTGTCAGTTATTGCTACTGCTGTCAGTTATTGATGCTGCTGTCAGATGCTGCTGTCAGTTATTGATGCTGCTGTCAGTTATTGCTGCTGCTGTCAGTTATTGATGCTGCTGTCAGTTATTGCTGCTGCTGTCAGTTATTGATGCTGCTGTCAGTTATTGCTGCTGGTGTCAGTTATTGCTGCTGCTGTCAGTTATTGCTGCTGCTGTCAGTTATTGCTGCTGCTGTCAGTTATTGATGCTGCTGTCAGTTATTGATACTGCTGTCAGTTATTGCTACTGCTGTCTGTTATTGCTGCTGCTGTCAGTTATTGCTACTGCTGTCAGTTATTGATACTGCTGTCAGTTATTGCTGCTGCTGTCAGTTATTGCTGCTGCTCTGAGTTATTGCTGCTGCTGTCAGTTATTGATACTGCTGTCAGTTATTGCTGCTGCTGTCAGTTATTGCTGCTGCTGTCAGTTATTGATGCTGCTGTCAGTTATTGATGCTGCTGTCAGTTATTGCTGCTGCTATCAGTTATTGCTACTGCTGTCAGTTATTGCTGCTGCTGTCAGTTATTGCTACTGCTGTCAGTTATTGCTACTCCTGTCAGTTATTGATGCTGCTGTCAGTTATTGATGCTGCTGTCAGATGCTGCTGTCAGTTATTGATGCTGCTGTCAGTTATTGCTACTCCTGTCAGTTATTGCTACTCCTGTCAGTTATTGATGCTGCTGTCAGATGCTGCTGTCAGTTATTGATGCTGCTGTCAGTTATTGCTACTCCTATCAGTTATTGCTACTCCTGTCAGTTATTGCTACTCCTGTCAGTTATTGATGCTGCTGTCAGATGCTGCTGTCAGTTATTGATGCTGCTGGTAGTTATTGATGCTGCTGTCAGTTATTGATGCTGCTGTCAGTTATTGCTGCTGCTGTCAGTTATTGATGCTGCTGTCAGTTATTGCTGCTGCTGTCAGTTATAGCAAGTAACACATGCTGCTGCTGTACAATATAGCATACATGAATTACCCGCAGCAGATCTATGCAGGTGGAGCTGGGGAAGTGGAGGGTTTCTGAAAGCACACTGCTACAGCAAATGCTGAACAAGTATTTCAAGGTTGAGCAGCGGGCTCATTGGCTGCTGATACAGCAGGAATCAATCAGCTGCGCCCTATAGAGAATGATGTGATTGCAAGCAGTTTGAGTTGAGTTGAGTTTCAGAAGATTTCTGAGAAAATGTCAAGCTATACAATCAAAAGAAGAGAAAACTAGTTGTTTTATTTCAGATAACAGCTCAACAAAATCACACAGTAGATCTTAATATCACAGTTTCTCAGACAAAAGATCAAGTAGAGAGACTTTCTCTGAAGTATCCAACTTTTCCCTGAGAAAAAGACCTTGGTAATCTAATTTCTAGAGTTTCAGAAGAGATGCAGGAAAATGTAAAGCTTTGCAATCAGCAGAATTGAAATAGTTGTTTTATGGATTTTATTTTAGATGAGATATCATTATGTGTTGTTTTTCTTAGAGAGCAATAAAAAAAATGGAGACTGTCTTAATTCTCCTGCATTTCAGATGTTTCTCCTGAGACAAAAACCTCTTTTGCCTCCTCTAGAGTTTCACAACAGATCTAAAAAATGTGTTCTTATTTGTCAATATAAGTTAACTTGCAAGATATTTCAATATGGACTCAGACATTCCTTGTTTGACCAAATGACCTGAGCTGCTATTCACAAATAATCATTATCTATGTCAAGAATAGATAAAGATAAGATACGATTTTTTTTCTTCTTTTTTTTAGGAGAAACATCTGAGACTTAAAAGAAACACAAAGCATAAATCAAACCCTGAGTGGTCCATTTTTCTTTGGCATCACATTTCTGCAACGCTTTGGGTCTGTTTGTCTTTCTTCTCTGGCTTTTGTCTCCGTTTGGAGGCAGAACGCGGTTTCTTTTTCTGGTGCGTTAATGGGATGTGCTGTAAAAATCTGCCTTTCCAACGCCACCCACACAAACACTCGACTGTAATAAAACAAGCCATTTACTTTTGTTTTCCGCCACTGGTTTCTGTCTTTCCCACTTGGACTATAGTTTGTCTCTACTGCTAATACAGATAACAGCCAATCAAGAGTCTCAGTTTGACAAGTATATTGCTCAGGTATTTATAGCACCGGGAGAGTGAATATGGCAGATAGTTTTAGTAATGGGTAAAAAGTCATCATGTCATTGGTGTTCAGATCCTCAGCAGAGATTTCACTGCATGTGGCAAAGAAATGTTCTGAATCATCATGTCATGCTTGAATTGAACTCATGAATTCTGTGTTCGCTGTGATTTCGCCAACTAGGCCGTGTTCCTGTCAGCCAATCAAATTTTAGGGATAGCCAAAAATTGCTTCGGTATTCAGTTTGCCGCTACTGATCATGGAGAGTTCTGTCTTTGGCAGGGTTATTATAACCCTGTTTAGTTTTAGGATTTTTTGCTGCATTTTCATGTTGAAGGTAGGCAAGTTTTAAAGGTTTTATAGTATGGCATGTATCAAAAACTAAAGCCAAATGCATTTTTTTTTTGTCATTTTTATTTAATTTTAGTCCGTTTTCGAGTTGTGACAATGTGTTTTAGTTTAGATCGTTTTCCCCCATTTTTATTTTTAATTGAATTCTAGTGTTGTCAATGTTTTATTTGAGTGTATTTCAGGAAAGAAGTTGAAAAATTGAGAAATCCAAAGTTGTTGAAGAGCATATTAAATGATTTTATATTTTAAAGGAAGACGTTTACGTAAAATAACACCAGAATTTGTGCAACTGTCTTTCCTCCAGATAGCCAATTTACTTGCACAACAGTTTCGGATAGCATTGCGTGGTTTATGTGGTGTGTTTGGCTTCCCATAGAGCTCATAACTAAATAAATCAAGCTGCCTTATGATGAGAAAGGATAATTTGGCATGCAGATGTGAGGGATGTCAGCACTTCTAAAATAAGCGGCTAAACAAAAACAAATACATTTAATAATGAGTCAATCTCTCTCTCCATTGGTTGCACATGTGCATCATCTCATAATAAGCGAGTGTGTTTGGTGACTCCTGTCTCTTCTGTTCCTCCTCAG